CCTAGGGAGACAAAAGACTTGTATGCAGAAAACTATAAGACACTGATGAAAGAAATTAAAGATGATACAAACAGATGGATATACCATGTTCTTGGATTGGAACACTCAATATTACGAAAATGACTATACTACCCAAAGCAATCTACAGATTCAATACAATCCCTATCAAATTAACAATGGCATTTTTTACAGAACTAAAACAGAAAATCTTAAAATTTGTATGGAGACACAAAAGACCCCGAATAGCCAAAGCAGTCTTGAGGGTAAAAAACGGAGCTGGAGGAATCAGACTCCCTGACTTCAGACTATACTACAAAGCTATAGTAATCAAGACAATATGGTACTGGCACAAAAAACAGAAATACAGATCAATGGAACAGGATAGAAAGCCCAGAGATAAACCCACACACCTATGGTCAACTAATCTATGACAAAGGAGGCAAGGATATACAAATGGAGAAAAGACAGTCTCTTCAATAAGCGGTGCTGGGAAAACTGGACAGCTACATGGAAAAGAATGAAATTAGAACACTCCCTAACACCATACACAAAAATAAAGTCAAAATGGATTCGAGACCTAAATGTAAGACCAGACACTATAAAACTCTTAGAGGAAAACACAGGAAGAACACTCTTTGACATAAATCACAGCAAGATCTTTTTTGATCCACCTCCTAGAAAAATGGAAATAAAAACAAAAATAAACAAATGGGACCTAATGAAACTTAAAAGCTTTTGCACAGCAAAGGAAAGTACAAGCAAGATGAAAAGACAACCCTCAGAATGGGAGGAAGTATTTACAAACGAATCAACGGACAAAGGATTAATCTCCAAAATATATAAACAGCTCAATATCACAAAAACAAACAACCCAATCCAAAAATGGGCAGAGGACCTAAATAGACATTTCTCCAAAGAAGAAAAACAGATGGCCAAGAGGCACATGAAAAGCTGCTCAACATCACTAATTATTAGTGAAATGCAAATCGAAACTACAATGAGGTATCACCTCACACCAGTTAGAATGGGCATCATCAGAAAATCTACAAACAACAAATGCTGGAGAGGGTGTGGAGAAAAGGGAACCCTCTTGTACTGTTGGTGGGAATGTAAATTAATACAGCCACTATGGAGAACAGTATGGAGGTTCCTTTAAAAACTAAAAATAGAATTACCACATGACCCAGCAATCCCACTACTGGGCATATACCCAGAGAAACCGTAATTCATAAAGATATCCCAATGTTCATTGCAGCATTATTTACAATAGCCATGACATGGAAGCAACCTAAATGCCCATCGACAGATGAATGGATAAAGAAGATGTGGCACATATATACAATGGAATATTACTCAGCCATAAAAAGGAACGAAATTGAGTCATTTGTAGAGACATGGATGGATCCAGAGACTGTCATACAGAGTGAAGTAAGTCAGAAAGAGAAAAACAAATATTGTATATTAACGCATATATGTGGAACCTCGAAAACTGGTACAGATGAACCGTTTGCAGGGCAGAAACTGGCACACCGATGTAGAGAACCAACATATGGACACCAAGGGGGGAAAGTGGCAGGGTAGGGGTGGTGGTGTGAGGAATTAGGAGATTGGGATTGACATATATCCACTAATACGTATTTAAAAAAAAAAAAAAAAAAAAACTACTGCTAGTACTTTAAAGACCAAAAGAAAAATTGCATCATCTTATTGCTCTCATCAGTCTAGAACAGAACGTGATGAGACAAAACCATATATACATACCAACTTCATTCCATAAAAAAATACGTAGACACTTAACATGGTAAAATTTACAAGAAGACAAAACAATAAAATATATATATGGGCTCATAAGCATATAGTACAGGACACAAAGAGGTATTTGGAAATACAGGGGCATTCCAAGAGACACACAAGTTGTTGAAAAAAAAAAAAATCAATGAAAAATGAGAACAATGGTAGTAAAATAAAAAGACCCTAAGGGCTAAAGAGCTACTAACTTGGAAAAAAAAGTACACCTACTCTTAAATGTGCCAAAGCCCTTTAGAGAAAGTTATTAGCAGAATACCTTGTAAAAAAATTATAACATACAGTATCACATAAATATAAGTTGATGTGGAAAACATGTGGATACTTTTTCTACTTTCACAGTCAGAAATTAAAAATGAGAAAGCAAACCCCAGAGATTACAGACATAATACGAAGGTGAGAAATGTAATCGGTAACTTCAAGGTAGCAGTGGTTAAACAAATCCTGGGCTAAAAAGCTCAAGGAATGGGACGACGAGGTAAAAGAAATTCAAACAGAACCATAAAGCCTAAAAAGTGGTTAAGAAGCTCGAATCTGTGCCTGGAAAAGCATGCTCATATTGCTGTACTTTACTATTATCACCACAAACATCATTGAGTAGCTACTAGGTGTCAGGTGTCCTGCTGGAGGCTGTTGGGAGTAAAGGCATGAGTCAGGCAGCCCCAGCCTCTAAAAGGTCCGAGTCTACCAAAGGAGACAGGACCATACACAAGTAAATCTATTAGAAGGACAGTTGTGAAAAGGACTGTATGAGACACATAGAGGTTATGGCTGAGGGACAGAGTAGAATACAATACAAAGTCCTGATAACTCTGGACTCAAACAAAGGGGACCCGAGGACTGGTACCAACTTGACCACAAGCAGGCCGTGCATCTCTGAAAAAAACACTCACACTCTCTGCACTGCAGTTCTCATCTTTATACCAGCGAAAGGTGGACTGTGTGATTTCTGTTAGTTCTACACTCTGTCTTTGTGGCTGAGGTTCTTCGAAGTCAGGGCCTGAATTAAGCTATGAATGTTAAGGCTTTATGGGCTAGATATTGAGGGCGCATATGTACATAGGCAAAGAATGGCAATGGCGTAAGCTGAGACACGAGACCTCATCAACTCACGCGGTAAATGAAAACTGTGTTACCTACTACCTGGGGATTTCACTAATGGTACAGAACATTCTAAATGGACAAAAAAAGAAAATGGATATAAACTTTAGAAAGTGTATAAAAAATTAAACAAAAATAACATGAATTATAAAAACACTGAGAGCAACAGAGGATGCACTAACATTTAAATTAAATATAAAGGAAAGCAAATCTTACACTTCTAACAAATATCATGTCATAATATATAGCAGATGAAGAGATGGAGCTGTATTTTAAAAAGTCTGAATATCCATGAACCTTTATCCACGTTTGTCTTTAAAATGTATATATGCAAGGGAAATTTCTTCCTTTACGTATTCAAAAAAGGTTATATTAAAAAGAAAAGAGAGATTGGCAGAATTGCAAGAAAGACTCAAGACTTCAGAAATTCAGCGAGACTGAGTTGCTTCGAGAGAGGATGCCACATTCCAAACTGTTTATTGCAAGAGAAGAATTACTGAGCAGTGCACTCACCCATGCAGCCATCCGCCACCCATCCAAATATATATACACATAGGAACATACAGACATACATTTGACCATACACAATCATTCCCACTAAAAACACAGTAGCATAATAAGAGCCAAGAGGAACATAAGGATGAGTGAGAAACCACGTCTTGTTGCTTAAATGGGGAAACAAAGCTTACATTCTTATAAGGAAGTAGGGAAGTATCACCATCGTATGGGGCCTGAGTGCCACATATGCCAGGAAGAGAAGGACCAGCAGCATAGCAGGCTGGGTGAAGACCACAGCCTCACTTCAGAAACTTTGTAGCCACAAAACCACAGAGAATGTCACCTCTTTTCTCTAAGCTTCCATTTCTTTATGTGAAAAAATACTTAGTTCATGGGGTTATAGGGAAGGCAATAAAATGACAATGAAAAGCATAGTGCCTCACGCGGACTATCTGGTCAGTAGTGGCAGATAGAAGAGCAGGAGGGGGCTTCCCTGGTGGCGCAGTGGTTGGGAGTCCGCCTGCCGATGCAGGGGACACGGGTTCGTGCCCCGGTCCGGGAAGACCCCACATGCCACGGAGCGGCTAGGCCCGTCAGCCATGGCCGCTGAGCCTGCGCGTCCGGAGCCTGTGCTCCACAATGAGCAGGAGGAACAACAAAAGAAGTAGGAAGTTGACAGTCAGAATAAGATGTATGTGGAAACCCAGGGAAAGGAGTGATTACTTCGGATCTAGGTCAAGTCCAGACACTGGAGAAGGTGATACAAATAGGATTGTGACGGGTGACAGAAGGGTGTGAGGTGGCATGTTAAGAAAGAACAAACATTTGAGCAAAGAGCTGCAGAGGATCAGAGATGATGCCACTGTCCCTAGAGAACCAGCTAGACAGTGGGAGAACCTCACAGAGTACAGTGACGAGGATGGGACATCTCCATGCAGGAAGAGTCGGCCAAGGGGACAACTCACTGGCATTCACAGCACTCGTGGTGAATCTGACCCCTCGTAGAGGGGTCTGAAATGCAGCCATTACCTGCTTCTCTCCTCCCTCTCACATACGCCAACACAATATAGGACCTGCCCCATCCCGCCCCTTGAGTGTGCATCGATTGTCATACCCGCTAGACTTCCTCACACCTCTGCCTCCTTCTCTGTAAGAAACCGTGTCTTTATTCCCTTCACATTAGAGGGGAGTCCACTGTTTCGAATCATTTTTGGACACATGTCCAACGGCAAGGGGGAGGGACGACTGGGTGGTAGACACATTTCTAAGACAGTGGGATGGGGATGGAGGACACAGCAGTAGAAGAGCACTGAGCTATGAATGAAGAGATGAGGGTTCTAGTTTTAGCTCTGGCCCGAACTCACTGTATAACCATAGGCATATAACCCCTAAGAGATCTCAATCTTTATTCCCCAAAGAAGAGCTGCCTAGATGGTTACTTGATGCCTTTTAACCTTTGACAGTCTATACACTATGATAACCACACCACAAATTCTTGAGCTACCTTGTTCCAACACAACATTGTACTACAGATCACTTTTTATTATATTGAATTCTCCCATTTGGGGCACCCACCTCTGCAATCCTTCACTCACCTTCACCGCCAGGTTGCTTGTATGGGTTGTACTTCGGCTTTGGAGCAACGACGGGGGCAAACTTCTTCGGTGGTTGTTGTGTGGACACTGAAATGCTGGGGGTCCCAAAGGAATGGGTGGTCTCCATCCGTGCAGACACATGGCCAAGGGGCTCAGGAGAGCTTTTGGGTGGCAGCCAAGATGGGTGAGACATTGTTGAATCTGGAATTAAAAAGAAACAAACAACAGTTGTTTTTAAAGAAACACAAAAATGAAGGCAATATACTTCACTTCGTTATTACTTCTTCTTAATCCATACTTAATAAAATCTTGAAAAAGGACTCTGAGAAGGAAGGAAGGAAGGAAGGGAGGAAGGGAGGGAGGGAAGGAGGGAGGGAGGGGAGGGAGGGGAGAGGGAGGGGGAGGAAGGGAGGGTGGGGGAGGGAGGGGGAGGGAGGGGAAGGGGAGGGAGGGGAGGGGGAGGGAGGGGGAGGGAGGGGAGGGGAGGAAAAAAAGGAGAGTTATGAAAAACTTGCCTTAACTGGAGGAGGAGAAAAATTGAAGACTCCCCTCAACCAATCTAGAATTCCTCTCTTCCAACAGTTACCTATTTTAGTGCCTAGGACTCTTCAGGAAATAGACATGAGTAAGAAATGGTCCCTAACCTTAAGAAGTTTCTATGGTAGGAGAATCTTATACTAGCAAGGTTGGAAAAAAGCTTCAATTTTATTAATAATCTATTAAAATGATTACCACATCAATTAAATGGTGGTAAGTTACCTAAATGAGGTGATATTATCTAAATGAGGTAAAAAAAAAAAATAAAGTGTTGCTGGAATGTAGAAAAAGATAAGATCACTTCTTGCAGGGAGCGGAACTAAGACCTCATTAATGAGGCAACCTTCAGACTGGGCCTTGAGTGCTGAGTAGAGGTCAGGCCCCAACAAAGGAGGCAACCTTGCATGAGCAGAAAAGCACACAGTACTTCAATTTAGCGTGGCTGTGGGGGAACAAGGAAAAGTAGCTAGCAAAAGAACTAAAAATGTGGGATGGAACCAAAGCACTGACAGCTTTGCATGCAAGCTTGAGGAGTTTGAATTTATTCTGCAGGCATTAAGGAACCCCCAAAGGTTTATTCTTGAAACAAGGGTATGACTAATGCATGGCAGGACATTTAAAATGATCCCTCTGGCAGGAGCAGTACTGCTCCCCACCAAGGGGCACTTGGAAATTGCAAGGAGGGACACTATCTGCCACAATGCCTAGGACAATTATTGGTACTTAGTAGCCAGGGGCTAAAACATTCAACCCCTATAATGCACAGGGCAGCCCCGTATAACACCCATCAGGAACTCTGCTGAGCGGATACCATACAGGACCTCTAGGAAGAACTCAGCTAGGGAGGGGATACACCAGCCAGTCCAGGGGCTATCCTACTGGGATTAAAAGATACTCTGTGAGGAAAGAAGAACGATGTCTTGGTGTCAGTGTAAGCCAACCAACCCTACAGGCAGCCTGCAGGCTGGGGCCAAGCCTCACAGACTGCCACTGAGGAGGGCTCTCCAAGTCTGATTGCAAGAGCTCTCCAGCGCAGGGAGGCCCGGAAGGCTCCCTCACCCTCTCCCAGCCCCAAATCCATCCCATAATTTATTAATTGGACTGAATTAATTGAGAGGCCTCCATAATTACCTCCAGATGTCTGTAACAACAAAGAAAACTGGAAATGCAGGAAAAAATAAAGGCCTCAGCACGTGGCATGGCCAGGGAGAGATGGGGCCCAGCGTGGCCTGGGTAGCATTACACCACGCCAGGAGGGGTGACATGACCCTGAGCAGCCCCGCTGCCCTTATCTGCTGTCCCAGGTTCCCCTGCTCCCTGTCCTTAACTCACAGAGTTTCATGACAACCAATGAGATGACAACATTAAAGTGGTTTTTTTGTTTGTTTTGTTTTTTTTGCGGTACGCGGGCCTCTCACTGCTGTGGCCTCTCCCGTTGCAGAGCACAGGCTCCGGACGCGCAGGCTCGGCGGCCATGGCTCACGGGCCCAGCCGCTCCGCGGCATGTGGGATCTTCCCGGACCGGGGCACGAACCCGCATCCCCTGCATCGGCAGGCGGACTCTCAACCACTGCGCCACCAGGGAAGCCCTATTAAAGTGTTTTATATACTGTCAAGTGCTAAGCAAAATGAGGGGAGGAAAATTGTTGGAGGTGTAGGTCTCTCAGTCAAAGAGGATGACGTGAAGCAATTCCTCCATGAGGAATCAGGAGGGTTCTGTTACTTAAGCCAGTGGGGACACTGGCTTTTCACTCTGGTTGCAGGGCCTTATTTTCCTCCCCTGCACCTTGTACACATGCTAATGTACACAGACACTTGGTAAATTGTAGGTTCCTTGGAAGAGCGGGGATCATATTTTATACATCCCTAAACCACCATTAAGGCCCAGCACAAAACCAATACAGAAAAACAACTGTGAGTCTGGTTTACTCCTGGTTCTTAAAACTGGCTGCACGTTTAGAAGTCTTGGAGATTTTTTTTTTAGACACCAAAACCAAGCTCATCTTTCAGGCTTGAGAAACTTTAATTTGGGTTTTGTTTGTTTAACTGAGCCTCAGTTTTCTACTAAAAGGGAATAAAGTGTCCGTTCTACTCTCAACAAGACCAAAGTGAGTGTAAGTGGGGAACAAGTAGGATAAAATAAAGATTTGAACATTTTAACGTGCCCTGCACATTTGTAGTATAAATTTTATTTGTGGATTTTTTTTAAAATGGGTTAATGTTATCCTTGCAAATTTTCTATAAATCTCAAGTTATTCCAAAATAGGAACTTTCAAAATGGGTTAATATAGGATACAGTGATTTCTAAAGCAAAGAGGCACATTTCCAGAGCAACCACACGTTGCCAACTGACTGTAGAATCCTGGCCTTTTCAGAAATTCTGCAGATATAAAGGAACAGGAAACTTCTGGGAGAATATGAAAGATGAAAATGCAAGCATCCATGTGCAAACCATGGACCCCACCATATTTTCAGTTATCCCCAGCACCACAGAGCACCCTTCCACTGTACTCTCCACGGAGGCAACCCCAGTGACACCTCCAGTGAGTGCCAGGGTCTGGCCAAATACCTGTCTGCATAAGACCTTAACAGCATTTTCTCAAACCTTTCTTCTATATGTTACCAATGGCCCGGTGACACCACTCCCAGGATTTATAATGAAATTTAATGACCCTGAAAACTTGCTCATGCTGTGTCCACCATCTATAATGCCATTACTTTCTACCAAGTACACCCACCCCCCACTTTTTGTTATCTTGACCAAGCTGAAATATCTCTGATGCTGTGAACATTTCCCTAGCTCCCTCCAGAAAGAGTAACTTAATTCCCAGGCTCTTGTTTCATACTAATAACAGTCCACATGTAAGCTATTTAATCACCTGCCTATCTACCCCAATAAGCTGGAAGTTCCTAAGTGGTCTCACTATACCAGCGCAATGCCTGGCCAGGAAGCCCTTGGAAAAATATCTTACGCATGAATGGGTGAATGAATAAATGCTGATCTCCTTGGTTACTCCTCCCTTTCTAGAATCTGCATCTCCCTTCTTAGCGTCCACTGATGGAATCACCTCTTTTTTCCCTCCCTTAATTTAGAGATGTAATGAATAGTGCTGATAGATTTCTAGATACTGAACCATCTTTGCAGTCCTAGAAGAAAATCCTACTCAGTCACAGTTGTCGTGTTTTGGTACATTGATGAATCAAATATTCTACTTTACATAGAATTTCTGTACATATAATACTAAGTAAGATCATTCTGTAGCGTTTTCCTCTACTTGTTTTACTTATCATTATTAGGTTTTGATATGGGGGTTCTGCATCCTCTTCTACTGTTTGGATTAGTTTACTGATAAGATTGGAACTATCTGATCTTTAAAGGTTTATCAGAATTCAGTGTAAAGCCATCTAGATATGAAACTTTCTTTAATAATAGAGCTTAATCATAGTTCCAAGAACTTCTACAATAATTGTAGCAGTTGTATACTTCTTTTGAGGTCATTTTTCAGCATTTATATTCTGCTGGAAATTCATCCATTTCCTCTAGGTTTTATCTCTGCTCCCCTTCCCCCAAGCTACCTCTTGATTAAAAATGATGTCTCATGTACTATGTATCATTTAGATCTGAGCAGCACTTCCTACTAGTCCTTGAAGACATAATTCACATTCTCCGTCCTCCAGTTCAAGCTATGTCCCCTTTCACTACATTTCCACAGCACCTGGGATACTGCTGTCACCACTCCCATCACATGTCACTCTGCCTCTCTGCTTGCCTGTATCACAAACTAAACTCTTCGATCCTTGAGAGCAGAAGTAATTATCATGCTCCAACCTCATGGCCTAATACACAATAGGCACTCAATAAAAATGTCTGTTAATTTAATAAATGAATAAATTTATTTGCCAAGCCCTAGAGCTCCAGATAAAGCAATGTCTCATCCTGTACTCAGATGGTTCAGATTATCATCCTGTTTTCAAGGAGTTTAAAGCCTACCTGAGGAAGATGTATTTTTATATGTGAAAAGAGAAAAAGGGCAACACAAAGTATACAAAAACAAAGAAAAACCAACTGGGGTATGTAACAGGATGTAGCACAGGGGTACTCTGAAAGCTAGGGGGCTCTGAAAGACAAAGGGATAAGCAAAAGGACAATGCCTGAAAATTCTGTGAACTGAAGGAAGAAGCAAGGCATTTCTTTGAGAAGGCAGCAGACCAGCTGAACTGAAATGAGGGACTTAGAATATTTGGGGGAAAGATTTGGAAGGTTAAAATGAGCCTTGCTCATTTAAAGGTCTTATGCAGAGAAATAAAAAGCTAGAACTTTTATCTTTGAAAAGGAATCTAACAGGAGTGAAAATTCTATGTAAGAAAAACTAATCTATGCAAAATGGACCCAAGGAAGGAGATAAATACAATAGTAGAGACATAGAGTCCCTATGACCCCAGTTCTAGTCTCAGCTTTGCCAGTGTGACCTTTAACGAGAGAGGATGCTCATTTGTAGAATGAATGTCTGTAAAGTCCCAATCAGCTCTAATATTCTAGAGTGCTTTCCTTCTCTGAAATCTTAATTACAGCCCTTCATTTTGATAAATGGGTTTGAGAAAACCTCACCAGTTTAGTGAACAGACGAATTAGAACATTTCCCTGGGGTTTCTCAGCTTCTCAG